GCAATCCACTCACCTCAGCCTCCCAAAGGCGCGGGATTACAGGCTGAGCCACCGAGCCCGGCTTAGATTTTTTTTTAAATGTTTGTGCCCATTGGTGTTTCTAGGTTGCCAGCTTCTTCAGCATCAAGTCTGGGATATATTAGGCAAAAAAGAAAACCCAAGGAACTTCCTAGTGTGTCATTCCTCAGGTCCCAAGTTTCCCTCTCTCCACCTTTCAGAGTCTTTATGTTTGTTTTACATATAATGTCAGGGGTTTGTAGTTGTACTTAATAGAAGGACTAGAGAACAGTACACCTACTCCATTTTCTCAGAAGTTCTGTTTCTACTCCTTTTAATATTTCTAATGAATGCACTTATTATAAATGTACTTCTGAGTACTACTTTTAGTTTTGATATTTGGTATTTTACTCTTTTTTCCTTTTCTTTTAGAGACAGGATCTTACTCTGTTGCCCAGACTGCCGTGGCATGATCATAATTCTCCATAACCTCAAACTCCTGGGCTCAAGCAATCCTCCCATCTCAGCCTCCTAGTAGCAATAAGCATGTGCCACCATGCCTGGATAATTTTGGTGTTTTACTCTTGATCTTTTCTAAAGGCTTTACAATTTTTAATATGACTTCTTCTTTGTCCCATTAATTATTCATAAGATGTTTTAAAATTTCCAAACTGAAAATTTTTTGCTATCTTTTTGTTACTAAGTTCTAATTTTGTTGATTGTTGTATTTTGGTTAGAAAACTTAGTCTGTATGCTATTGAGTCCTTGGTATATGGTAGGACTCTCTTTATGGCCAAGAATGTGGCCAATTATTATTATACAAATGCTTCCAGTGGGTTTTAAGAAAATATATATTGTTTAACGGTTGGCACAAGCCTATGATTACTAATTCTTAGAGAAGACTTTTTTCTCTGCCTAAGGTCTAGATAGAGATGCTGGTGAGTGGACTTTTTTCTTCCCGGTTCCATTCTTTTTGAGAGTCTTAACTTGTGGTGGGGAGGTGGTCTCAGTTGCTACTCCCCATCTAGAGCAGCCAAAGTCTTCTATCCTTGTAAAAGCGTTGAAACCCAAGCTCCTCGGCCTTGGCATACAGTCCTCACCACCCCCTCCCTGTCCCCCCTCCCACCACCACCACCTCCACTAGGCACACACACCAATGACAGATGCTCAAGACTTCCAGATTTAGTTCCTGCTTTGTTTCTGGAGACAAAAAAATTAGTCCTTTTCCTTATAACCTCAATTGCATGTTTAAAACAATGCTTCAGTTCTGCTTTTCCCATCTGACATGGTAGGGAAGAAGGCAACCGAACACTTCTTTTATTTTGGATAACAGAGAAGCATAGAACAAAGAAAGAAGAAAAGGAAATATTAAGAGAGTGTGGGTCAGATGGATGTCTCCATGGGTAACTGATTCCCAGACAGACCTGAGCTTAAAAATCACTATTCTGGAGCAGTGTTTCCGGGGAGCCACCTGAGACTCTTGTTCCAAGGTACAGCTTCCTAGGCTTGTCCTCTGGCAATTGTGAATTTGGTGGTCTGGGGTAGACCCTGAAGCCTGGGTCCCAGAGCTTCCAAGTGACTCTTAAGGAAAGAAAGGTAAGAGACTAGAAGACTGAGAATCTAAACCAAGCATGGTGGCTCACAACAGTCATCTCAGTACTTTGGGAGGCTGAGGTGAATCACTTGAGGCTAAGAGTTTCAGACCAGCCTGGGCAACATAGTGAAACTTCCCCTCTAAAAAAAAGAAAAAAAGACAAATAATCAGGCCTGGTGGCACGCCTGTAGTACTAGGTACTTAGGAGATGGAGGTGGGAAGATTGCTTGAGTCCAGGTGACAGTGAGTCATGACTGTGCCATTGCACTCCAGTCTGGGTGACAGAGTAAAACCCTGCAGGAAGGAAGAAGGAAGAAGAAGAAAGAAGGAGGAGGAAGAGAAGGAAAAAGAGGAAGGAGAAGAGAGATGGGAAAAGAAGAAGAGAAGGGGAAGGAGAAAGAGGAAGAAGAAGAGGAAGAGAAAGAAGAGGAAGAAGAGGACAAGGAAGAAGAAGGAGAGGAAGAAGAAGAGCAAAGAAAGCCTTAGAGTAGTATATAGGTGCAGGAACAAATTACCTTAGGGATAATATTGTATATGAGGAAACTTTAAAGGTGTGCATAGGGAGAACATCCAACCATCTATCCATTCTTTCATTCATTCAACAGTTTACTTTAAAAAAATGAGCATTGGGGGGGTCTTGCTATGTTGCCCATGCTGGAGTGTAGTGGTATGATCATGGCTTACTGCAGTCTTGAACTCCTGGCTTAAGCAGTCCTCCCATCTCTGCCTCCTGAGTAACTGAGACTACAGGCACACACCACTGGCCCAACTAACAAACACTTTTTGAGCCCCTGTTATATCCCTGATATTTCTAGGCGCTAGAAATTCTGAAATAAATAAAATATAGCACTGATTTCAAGAAGCACTCCTCTAGCAAGAAAGGCAAGCGAATAATGGTTACACATGGTGAGTATACAAATGTACAGATACAATTGCCAGATAAAATACAGGAAGCCGAGTTAAATTTGAATGTCAAACAAATAATTTTTAGTATAAGTATGTTCCAAATTTTGTTTTATGTTTGCTTGTTTTTCATTTTTTCTAAATCTGGCAATCCTTACATATAGACAAAGGAGAAGCTCCCAAGTGAGCTTAGGGGATAAAGGTTGCAAACCTCCATCATATGTCAAAAGGTCTCTGATACAAACTGATTAAAATTAATAGGTCATGGTAACTGCTAGAAGCAGGTAGAACTCAAAGTATACCATGCTATACCTAGAGTAAGGTGGTAAGGTGTGTTCAACTCTCGCAACAGTCATTATCTCAGACTCTCCTCACAACATATTCATATAACTAACAGTTTTAGAACTCCAAGGACTTACAGAACACAGGTTTGTGAGCGAGGTCATCTAAAGTGATTCCTCCTTCAGGATTAAACTCAAAACTGCTAGTGAAGTTGTATTTTGCCATTCCTTCTGGAGAAACAGTAATTTTTGCAGAGTCTCCCAGAACCACTTGATTGAATTCTACACGAACAAAGGTAACTGGAGTATCTCCTTTAATACCTTTCTGTTGGCAGAAACATATCACTTTACAATTATACTCAAATAGAGAATTTTCCTACACAGCTGGCAATCCATTTTAACTTGGGATAAACAGCATTTTTTATTGTTTCCCAACAAGCTACATCACAAATACAAAAGAAGTAGGTAGAAAATCATCTTAAAAATCTAATTGTAGTTATGTAGCATTCCATTTGAATGCCATTATGCTGGAAGTTTGAAAAATAACAAGTACTGTGTTTTACCTGGTAAAAGTATATTGTGGAACATTTGAAGAGAAAATGACAAAAGAAAATTAATTACCTGTTTAAAATGAAGCTGATTAATTATATCATCTTTTGAAACGGGCTTTTGAAACTCAACTATACTGAATATTTTGTCATTTCATTATTCTCCAAATTTCTAATAGTTACATCCTGCTGTGGTTTTATTATGCAAATTCATCAAATGAAACTAATCACAAGGAAAACACTGGAAGAACTCAGATCCTTCTCAGGAGAAGGGGAAGAAAAAGAAATTATATGTGACCTACTGTTTAGAAAAACTAAAACCACTTCTTTCTTTTAAACTTAGTATTCAAATTACCAGGTATTTCTGACACACAGTAACAAAGTGTGACAACAAAGTTCTGAGTTACTGAGTTACTATATACTACTGATTCTGTAAAGTCAGGAAGTTTGGAGGCAAAACCCCATTCCTCCTGCAGGTGCTCCCAAACTAGGAACTTTGTAGAGTTTCAAAATTAACTTTACCAAATCATGTCCATCTGTCACAGTGATCTGCACGGGTCTGCCAGTTGACGACACCTGCTCCATATCACCAACTGGGCAAAGTCCCTCTGGTTTTCCTTGGTCTCTGTAAACAGAATGAATGAGCCACCCCCTCATGTATCATAGCCAAACAAGCACCCGCATTATATCAAAGTCAATACCAGGGGAGAACCTAGGGAAATGCCATAGTCGAGCATTGTTTTCTTCTCCCATCCAGCCTTTGCTGCTAGATAGGCAGTGCTTTAGAGAGCTGGTCACAAGGATGATACTTAGTGCTAAAATGATTTTTTATAAATGCAACTCACTAAGCAAAAATTATCACAAGACAGAGTAGGAATGCCATCCTCCTCACCTCCTATATCCCTACATCCTTCACAGTCTTCTTTGGTAACCTTTTTATTTTTTATTTATTTATTTATTTTTGAGTTGGAGTCTCACTTTGTCACCCAGGCTGGAGAGCAGTGACACACTCACGGCCACCCCAGCGTCAACCAGCTGGGTTCAGGTGATTCTTTCACTTCAGCCTTCCAAGTAGCCGGAACTACAGGTGCATGCTACCACGCCCAGCTAATTTTTAAATTTTTATTGTAGAGACAAGGTCTCACCAAGCTACCCAGGCTGGTCTCGAACCCGTGGGCTCAGGCAATCTACTCGCCTCAGTCTCCCAAAGTGCTGGGATTACAGGCTGAGCCACCGAGCCCGGTATGGTAATCTTTTTTAAAAACCTGCAAAGTTCCCCTCAAAGGTTATTTAACTTCTCAGTTTTACAAAAATATATTTTTGGAGCAACAAGCAGCCATATAAACTGGTAGTCCATTGGAAAAGGTCATAACATATTCAAATATATTTTCTTGTTATTTTACAATACTAAGGATAAAATTTCAAAAATATATTGGATGTTTTTTCAAAGAAGGTTGTTTTTCTAACTAAATTCAACGTAGAACTGATCTATGAAATTCAAACACTGAGGACATTTACTAGTCTCCTAGTCTGTATGACTTCAGTTTCCTCTTACTCTAATCCATTCCACTTCTGTCAGAATTGTTCACTGAACAAACGTTTATGAAACAAGGCACTGCAGTAGGTGCTAAGGATACATGAGATAAGCTGTAAACTCCCTACCTCGAGGAATTTAAACTGTCGTGAGAAAGAGACATCTAAATAGACCAGCTGTTATGTTGTACGTGTGGTGGGGGGGTGGGGGTGCTCTGACAGAGGAGATGGGAGAGTTGGGGCACACAAGATGGAAGAACTGCTTGAAAAGTAACTCTTGAGCCAGGCTCATTGGCTCAGTCTGTAATCCCAGCACTTTGGAAGGCTGAGGTGAGTGGATTGCCTGAGACCAGCCTGGGCAACTTGGTGAGACCTCAACTCTACAACTGATGAAAAAAATTAACCGGGTGTGGTAGCACTCGCCTGTAGTTCCAGCTACTTGGAAGGCTGAGACAGAAGAACTGCCTGAGCCCAGCAGGACGTGAGCATGCCACTGCAGTCCAGCCTGGGCGACAGAGTGAGACTCTGACTCAAAAAAAAGAAAGAAAGAAAATTAACTTTTGATGATAGCTTCCTATGTGCCAGTGTGCCAAGTGTGCTTTACGCATGTTATCTTATATGTACCTACCCTTCCATGTGACTCTTAAATCTCCATTTCTGTGAAAAGGAAAATGAGCTTCAAGAAGTATGTTTATCTTACCAGCAGTCATATACAGCAAAGAAGTGATGCAGCTGGGACCTAGTTGGACTTGAGCGTGCAGGTGCGGGTGTACTCACCCAGGAAAGCTCTTTGTGAGAGGTAGCCTGGAATTGTGTCTCAACAGATGAAAGCGAGGGATATTCCAGGCAAAGGAAACAGATGGTAAGGTGCTCAAAGGCAAAAACAGGAACAACAAAAACAAAATCTCAGCAAGTCAAGTCAATCGGTGTGCTTGGAGTGGAGTGTGAGAAGAAATCAGGAGAAAATGAGATTGCAAGGCAAGCAGACACCCTATTAAATTACAGATCTGATCAGATCACGGTCTCATTCCCTCTCACCTACCACATTAAGTCACACTGCTTTCAAGGTCTTCTAGGATCTAGCAGTGCCATTCGACTTCTCCTCTACTCTAGCCTAGGCTTTGGTTTCTTCTTCTTCTTCATTTTTTCCCCAAAGAATCCCTGCATTTAGCTACTTTTGAACCTTTGCATTTTTTTCTTTCTCCTGATGATCTTGCCCTTCCTCCACACTCCATCTCTATTGTGAGTAAGCCCTACTCATCCTCGAACACCCAGCACAAATACTTCCTAGTCCACGAGGCTTTCCAGGCTGACGCATCTGTCTTTCCTTTGGACTCTTCTAGCACTTTACACTTCCCTTGTGGCATTTACTACAAGCTGTCTATGAAGATAGGGGATTCAAAAGACTTTCCCTACTTAATCTCTACTTGACCCTGGGTAAATGCTTCACGCCTCTCAGTCTCAGTGTCACCTTCTGTAAACATGGATAAAGTAACTTCCGACTAGCTTCACATTTGTGAATATCTCCTAAAACGATAAAACTGCTTAAGCGATGAAGCACCGTGCAAAAGGTATTACTAATATGCACCACCCTTCCTGAAAGTTCAGTTACACCTTTGAAGACAAGTAACCTGTCTCATTCACATCCACGGGCCCCGAGTGCCCCGCACTGTGCCTGGTACACAAGAGACATTTGCGTCGACATTTGCGTCGTAATGAATGCAAGACATAGGACTAGTTACAAGTTAGTCTGGACAGTTAGGTGGGGGTGCTTGTTGCATTTCTTGTCATCTGCTCGGAAGAGGCTGCAAGGGATGAGTCCAATCACAAAAAGGTTGCCTGTCATCCCAGCACTTTGGGAGGCTGAGGTGGGAGGATCATTTGCAGCAGAAGTCTGCGACCGGCCTGAGAAACAAAGCAAGACTCAGTCTCTATCCCCCCCAAAAAATTTTTTTTAATGAATCTGGTGTGGTGGTGCACACCTGTAATCCCAGCTACTCGGGAGGCTGAGGCGGGAGGATCACTTGAGCCCAGGAGGTTGAGGCTGCAGTGAACTGTGGTGGTGCCACCGCACGCCAGCCTGGACGACAGAGCGAGACCCCTTCGAAGGAAAGAAGGGGGAAGGGGAGAGGGGAGGCAAGGAGGTAGAAAGGGAAAAAGACGGAGGAGGCGATTGGGTCTGGAAAGGAGGGTCTCCGTCCGTCTGCCTTTCTGGGGTCCGGGCCTCGCAGGGTCAGTGGCGTTTCGGCCTGTCACGGGGTTTTCAGCCCGGCCTTAGCTGAGGGGGCAGAAGAGTGGGAGGACAGCCGCAGTGTGGCTGCGGGGCCGGGGTGGGGAGGCGGGGAAGAGTTTTCTGCGAAGGGATAACTGTCTTCCCTGCGGCCGCCGCAGATGTGTTTCGCTACTATAGCAACCAGTTACCTCTCGCGAGATCCTACTTTTTGCCCGCGCCTGCAGTTTCTTCCAAGACTCGCGATAGAGCCTTCCGGAAGGGAGGCCGGGAGCGGGCCGCGGGGCGAGGTTTCGCGCCTGCGCGCTGGCGGTCGGTGCTGTTTCCGCCGCCGGCTGTTCCTTGGGAAGAGATCAGGCAGTGTTTCCCCCGTCTCCTTTCGCTTTCTCGACTCTAATTTCAGCACCCCTCCACAGATAAGAGGAACAAAACCCAAAGGAAGTGTATGGAAAGAACAAAGCCCCAAGACAACACACGCCCCAAACGAGCCGCGGGCGGAGGAGGAGGG